ACAAAACAATTGGATTGAAGTGGATCTTTAAACTAAAAAAGGGCCGAGAAGAAAGAATCATCAAACACAAGGCTAGATTGGTTGCAAAAGGGTACGTCCAAAAATATGGAATTGATTATAAGGAAGTCTTTGCTCCAGTAGCCAGAATGGAAAGAGTAAGAGTTCTTCTAGCACTATCCGCTTAAAAGGATTGGGAAGTTCATCATCTAGATGTTAAGACCGCTTTTCTAAATGGAGATTTGAGAGAAGAGGTTTACGTACAACAGCCGGAAAGGTTCTGTGACAGAAAGAATCCAAACAAAGTTCTGAAACTCCACAAAGCATTGTATGGTTTAAAACAGGCTCCTAGAGCATGGAACGAAAAACTTGACAAGTGCTTAAAAGCCCAGGGTTTTAACAGATGTGCATTTGAACACTCAGTATACATGAAGAAATCAGGAGCGGATATCACCATTGTGGGGGTTTATGTAGACGATCTGATCCTCACAGGTTCCAGTTTAATGCTTCTCAAGAAGTTCAAAAGGGAGATGATGAAGATATTTGAAATGAGTGACCTAGGACGGTTATGCTACTATTTGGGAATATAAGTGAAGTAGACGAAGGAGGCCATAACCATATGCCAAACCAGCTACGCCAAGAAAATCATTGAAAAATTGGGCATGGCAGAATGCAATCAATGTAGCATACCAATGGAGCTAAGAAGCAAATTCAGCAAACATGATGGAGAAGCATTTGTGGATCCTACCATGTACAGAAACACCATTGGAAGCCTAAGGTACCTTGTACATACTCATCCTGACCTTGCTTTTTCAGTAGGTATTATGAGCAGATACATGGAAGCTCCAACGACTGCACATATGACAGCTCTTAAGCAAATTTTGAGGTACATAAAAGGGACTCTCAATCTGGGGTGTGTATACAAAAGGGGTGAAGCAACAAATGGGTTAGTTGGATACAGTGATAGCGACCTAGCTGGAGACATTGACGACAGAAGGAGCACATCTGGGATCATATTTTTCTTAGGAAACAGTCCTATAACTTGGGTATCTCAGAAACAGAAAATTGTGGCTTTGTCTTCATGTGAAGCGGAATACATTGCTGCAACGGGAGGCACCTGTCAAGCGATCTGGCTTACAAGGTTGATTGAAAGCTTACTGGGGAAGAATGAAGAGAAACCAATCCTAAAGGTAGACAATAAATCTGCTATTGCCTTGGCGAGAAATCCAGTGTACCATGAACGAAGCAAACACATAGACACCAAATTTCATTTCATACGCAACTGTGTCGAGAAAGAAGTATTGAAGCTAGAATATACAAGAACAGACACGCAGCTGGCAGACATATTAACCAAGCCGCTTGGAAGACAAAGACTCAATGAACTACTGAACAAGATTGGAATGAAAGTCTTGAAGGAGTGACCAAGTTTAAGGGGGTGAATGATGACTTTAAACTTGGTCAAAGCTGCACTTAATTATGTTAGTCAACTTTATAAATAAGGGTGTTTCTACTGTGCACTCCTTAATTTGGTGTGTTTTGGTACACATCCTTTTTAACCGCCCATCATCCTTTTTAACCACTCATTCCATTATATCTTAATCTTACGCCACCTAATATTCTCATTAACTAAACATAATAATTTGCCATTTTTGCATTTGAATCCTTCACCGGATTAGAAAAAAAAGGTTAAACTGAACAAAATCGTCAAACGAGATTTATTTAAATAGGAATTAATAAATATTTAATTGTCAAAGTATGTGCAAAGTTTAAAAGTATTCTAAATAGGAATTATTATTTGTAGTTGGACAGGAGTACGAAAGTACCCATTGAAGCTTGACAAAACTTAATGCAGCCGAACATCGCTGTTGACCGCCGACAACCGGCGCTACACATCTGACCACCGCCTCCGTACATCTGGTCAGATCTGGGCATCACCGATCTGACCATCGACATTGCACATCTTGCCATGAACCACCACCGTACATCTGACCAGATCTGACCACGTCGGCCGTCGTGGCTAAAGATCCGGCCTCTACCACTAAAGCTTTGGCCTACACTGACACCGCGGATCCGGATCACCGGCATAGGGAACTAGGGGGCAATTGTTTATAGGTTTAAATATGATTTAAGTCCCTCCAAAATATTTTTTTATGTTTTTCATCCTTTTATTATGCATTATTTGGTTTTTAGTATATCACTAAAAAAATTCATCCCTATAATTTTTTTGAGGAAAATATGAGAGTTAAAAAAATAAAAACTAATTACTCACATTTTTAAAATACGTATTAAATTCTATTAAATCAGCGGTAGACTAAAAGAAAAACTAACATACATTTTAGAAATGAAAAACAAAAAAATAATTTTGCAGGGATACTATATTTGCAGAGACTAAAAAAATATTTAAACCTTATTTATATTAGGAAGGACAAATATGGTATAAAAGTCCTATTTAAAAAATAAAAATATACACAGTCCTATTTAGAAATTTAAGAAACAATTCAATCATATTTAGGCTAATAACTCAACTTTCACTACAAGTCGTTAATCATATTTAGTAGCACAATACTAAAATGTGATTGAATAAGAAAAGATGTGTACCGGTACACTCAATATTTAGGAGTGCACCGAGGTAGAATTTTCCTATAAATAATTAGGTTTCATTTCATACTCACGCAGTGGAGGAGCTAGGGGGGCAAGGGGGGGCAAGCGCCCCCGCTCCGACTAATTTTTTTTACTAGTATTACTTATAATATGTTTCTTGCCCCGGCTTCTTTTTTAATTTTAAAAACAATAAGTACAACTTAAGGTTATTTTAAGATGAAGTGTTAAAATAAATAAAAAAGTATTTTAAGAAAAAGTAAAAAAAAAAATGAAATATAGAATAAAAGGGGATTAATGAGTCAATGAGACAAATGAGCATCTAGTCTAAGGCTAAGTAAAAAAAACGGGCATAAGTAAAAAAATGAAAAAAAAAAACATTTCTAAAGCCCAAGCCACCTAGACAATCCTAAAGCCTAAGCCCAAAAATGAAAAAAATAACAATTCAAAACGTAATCACTAAAGTCTAAAGCCATTAAGTGGGTTAAAAATTCAAAGCTTCATTAACAAAAGACCTAGGCAGTCGGCAGTCCCTTCCCACTCCGCCAAAAAAAATGAATCGAGCAGTTGAGAACGCAGGCAGGCAGCGAACGTGAGAACTGAGAAGCAACATCGCCCGCTCCCTCTCCGGCTTTACTCCCCAACAGAAATCTACCTTCCTTCTCGAGTTAGTTCTCACTTCTCCCCATTTGTTCTCAGATTCTGCAATTTTCAAGTAAGTTTCTCATCTGCCAATTTATGCCCATATTAATTATTTGCTCTCATCCCTAACGAAAAGTCAGAAATTATTTGTGTGAATCCTCAAATCTCAGTTCTAGATGCAATTTAATGCTATTTGTATAAGGAACATTTTTAATTCATACCTATTTTTGTTATATTTAGGAGAATGAGTTTGGATAAATTTGTAATTAAGACTAAAAGGTCTTTGATTGGAGGTGTTAGTTCTTCAATTGTTCCTAATCAGTCTATCTCTAGTGTTGAAAATTCCACTGCGTCAAATGAAAATATTGCTAGAGATGAGAGGAATGAGAGGGACAAGAGAGCCCGAACAGAAAGTACACATGAATGGGATATTATTAGTGATCCATTTTTACGAAAACCAATTAATGAATATGCGCCGGGGATTAGGGAGGATGTGATGAGAGCATATGTTGTTAAAGGTGCTTGTCAACCAGCATCTCATAAGTTTCCACGAACTGAATTTGGTAAGACATTAAGGAGCTTTCGAGGAGAGTGGTTTAAAACTTGGGAATGGTTGGAATATTGTATTTCTAAAGATGTCGCTTTCTGTTTTTGGTGTTACCTTTTTCATGGGCATGAAGGAAAGAGATTTGGTGATGATGTGTTTGTGAGGACCGGATTCCGTAATTGGAAGAAAGCTCCTGAAAAATTTAGAGATCATGTTGGTATTGTAGAGAGTGTGCACAATGATGCTAGAACACAATTTTTTGCTTTCAAAAATCAAAAACAAAGTATTTCAAGAAGTCTCTCTTCAGGAACACAACTGTTGGACACGAATTTTAAAATTTTTAGTCTTTGGTTTGCCCCTCCTTGGACAAACCTCTGGCTCCGCCACTGTACTCACGTACTACACCACACCCACGTTCTCCACTTGCACTCACACGTTTAGTTTTCTTGTTTTCTTTGATTAACCGCTGCACTCTACTTGTATAAGTATGAGCTAGTATCAGGAGGTTTTTTCATCCATTATCAGACATTGTAATGGGTTTTTCCTGCAAATATATAATGAAGATACATATGCAGTTGGCCTTGGTTTATATGTGTAATACTCAGATTATAATCTAGTCATTCCAAGTGTGTCATCCGACAATGCCTCCCTGGGACACTGGGACTTCTACCATTTTTAACTATATCGCACGAAACTAGGAATGAATGACGCAATCGATGACGTACTAAACTCCAATACATTATTCTCCGAACTATCCTATAGGGAGTGTTATTTAATTACTTACTCCGTATTATTTATATGTATCTATGTATGTTGTGACGTAATAAATGGCGTGACTGCGAAAGATAAGCCAAGCCACCCAGCGTACGTCAACATTACCTAATGAATGAAACCAACGAACCTCAACCCAATTTCTTCAATTATCCGTATATGTTTCTGCATGCCCGGCCCGGAGGTATAAGTTTCGCCAACTGTAAATTCAATACTCCTATATGACATATTGGATGACGCATGCAGTATATCAACATTTTCGATCTTTTGCTTTATGTTTTTTCATAAAAAAGAATTAAATTTTTATTTTGGCCCTACTATTATTATGGCCTGCAATTGGGTTCTGGACCATTAACTTGCAGTTTTGGGATATGATGACATCTTCAATGACGTAGTGCGTGGATGCAAACTGTATAAATATAATAAACATCTGCAATTGGGTTCTGGACCATTCATATCTACTCAACTGAGATTTGTGACATCATGCATGACGGAAGCACTTTTCTGTATTATATTTGATCAATTCTCCGTTTATGTTTCCTAGAGGAGCTTTAAGTATCGCTATCTACTTAAGTGAAGTTGTATGTATATGACATAGTCAATGACGTATGAAGTACTGTCACCGGCCTCTTTTTCTGGCCTGATTATCTCAGCTCCTCAGCTCCTCCTATATCTATATATACACACGCAGAAGCTAGCTTATTTCTAACGTGCGATAGCCAACGTACTGCCCCACACAACGTATAGATTTTTCATGAGTGTATTAATTAATTACCTCCTGGCTTAAAACCATGCATTAAAGAATATGCAAGAGAGAGCATCAATTCAAGCTTCCTCAGGCAATCGAACGAACTCAACGAACTGAAAGTGATGAAGCTCCTATTCGATAAAGCTAAGATGAGAGCGTCAATCCCAAAGGAATCATCCATATCGGTTTCCCGGAGATGAAGAATTCAATTGCAACAACCATGAAGCTTCCTCCATGTGCAAGCAACAACCATGAAGCTTCATCCATGTGCAAGAATGACAAAGGGAGCTTCCTCAAAGTTTCCTCATGTTTAATCCCACCTTCCTCCCACCTTCATAGTAACTAGTTTTGGTGCTATAAATAGAGAGCTTAGAGAGTCTTTCTATCATCAAGTAAATTAGAATAGATCATCATAGCACAACCAAGAAGAGTTGTGAATATCCTTGAGAGATATGTGAGGTGTTGTTTTGAGAGTTTTTTAATTAGAGCTTGTATGTCTCTTCTTTCTATTCTTGAAAGTAATAGAAGTGTTTTTCTCTCATATTAGCACGATCCTGTTATTCCCAACAAGTGGTATCAGAGCCTGGCTGAGCTTTTGGTATTTTTTTCCCCAGAATTTTCGGATAAAATTCTACTGTCTGAAAATTCGTGTTTTTTGGTTTTGCTCGGAATTGCAATCTGAATACACCGTTAGATTCGTCTCGTCGAGACGAGAAAACTGGTATTTTTTGGTAATTTTTAGGCCACCGGAAGCCACCACACGAGCCGCCTACGCGACGGTGGTGAGGAGCTCGCTGACGTCAGCCCTGACGTCATTCTACACGCAGGCCAGAGGTTGAAGACAGCTGACGTCATCGCTGACGTCATCAGCCAGTCAGAGCTGTGTCAGCGACACATCAGCGCCACGAGTGCACATCCGCCACATCATAAGCTCACTGCCATCTTCCACCAGCGCCCAGTCAGCTGCCACGTCAACGCCCAGTTAGCGCCACGTCATCTGCCACGTCATCTGCCACGTCACCGGCCAGTTTTTAAATTTTGAAAAATTGCAGTTAGGTCCCTCAATTTTTGGAAAATTATAATTTCCACCTATAATTTTTCGAAAATTGTATTTTGACCCCGAAAGTGTCTACCCACCATTTTTGGCCGTTTCGGACGCAACGGTGCTGCCCGTTTTTCAAAATTCTGCTCCAATTTTTCTCAAACAGAATATTAAAATTATTTAGAAGGTGAAAATGACCTTTGACGAGTCAACTTCATCTTCCGGAGCTATGATTATGCTCACGGCTACCAACTACACGCTATGGAAACCTCGGATGGAAGATTTCCTTAGCTGTAAAGACCTTTTTGATCCAATAGAGATGAAAGGTATTAATCCTGACCCACCCAAATCAATAGAGTGGAAGAAAATAAATAGAAAAACTATTGGTCAAATCCGTCAATGGATTGATCATAGTGTCTTCCACCACGTTGCACAAGAAACCGACGCTTATGCCCTTTGGAAGAAGCTAGAAGATATGTACCAGGCCAAGACCGCCAGGAATAAGGCCCTACTGATGAGGCGTCTTGTCAATATGAAGCTCAAAAGTGGAACTTCTGTTGCCGAACATACTAGTCAGTTTTAGAGTCTGGTAAATCAACTATCTTGTGTAGAAATGCCACTTGGAGATGAAATGCAATCTCTACTACTTCTTAGTTCCCTTCCTGATAGTTGGGAGACACTAGTTGTTACTCTCAGCAACTCAGCCCCAGATGGCAAACTTACCATGTCTGTGGTCAAGGATGCATTGTTCAATGAGGAGGCAAGGAGGAAAGACATGAGCACAGATCAGACTCATGCTCTTGTGACGGAGAATCGAGGAAGATCACAAGGAAAGCAACAAAGAAACAGTAGAGGAAAGTGGCAAAGCAGAGACAAAAGTCGGGGGAGATCATCAGATGGCCGGAAACCTTCTTATACCTGCCACCATTGCGGTATAGAGGGTCACATGAAGAAGAATTGCTACAAATTGCTAGAGGAGCGAGGCAAGAGCAATTCTCAAGCGAAGAACAAGGGTGGTGAAGCGCTCATCACAATCTCAGGTGATGTGGCGTATTGTACTAGCAATGATGAAACATGCCTGCACGTCTCAAGAGAGGACACTGAATGGGTGGTAGATACTGCAACATCCTACCATGTTACTCCCCACAGGTACTACTTCACAACTTACAAAGCTGGAGACTTTGGAGCAGTAAAGATGGGCAATTCCAGTTCCTCTGGAATAGCTGGAATTGGTGATATACAAATAAAGACGAGTACTGGGAGCACAATCACTTTGAAGGATGTCAGACATGTCCCAGACCTTCGGCTCAATCTCCTATCTGTGGTATGTCTTGACGAACAGGGGTATGACAACCACTTTAACAGGGGCACCTGGAAAATGTCAAAGGGCGTTTTGACAATCGCTCGAGGACATGTTTGTGGCACATTGTACAAAACTCATTTGAGGATTTGTATGGATAGCCTCAACATTGCAGAGGAGACTTCTCAGAATCGGTGGCACCTGAGGCTCGGCCACATCGGTGAGAAAGGGTTGACTACCTTGATGAAGAAGAACCTTATCAACATTGACAAGAATTCTGCACCGGGTCCTTGCAGTCATTGTCTATTTGGTAAGCAACATAGAGTATCATTTAGTTCTACTTCAACTAAAAGAACGGAGTTGTTAAGTTTGGTACACTCCGATGTCTGTGGTCCTTTCGAGGTAGAATCAATCGGTGGAAGCAGATATTTTCTGACTTTTATCGATGATGCTTCTCGGAAAGTGTGGGTGTATTTCCTGACGAAGAAGGATCGGGTCTTTGAGAGCTTCAAGACATTTCACGTCTTGGTGGAACGTGAAACAGGAAAGAAGTTGAAATGTCTCCGATCTGATAATGGAGGCGAATATACATCCAAGGCGTTCGATGCATATTGCAGAGAATATGGCATTCGACATGAGAAGTCAGTACCACGCACCCCTCAGCACAACGGTGTTGCTGAAAGAATGAACCGGACTATCATGGAGCGTGTCCGGAGCATGCTAAATGTGGCTAAACTTCCAAAGTCATTTTGGGGAGAAGCAGTCAACACCGCATGCTATCTTATCAACCGATCACCTTCAGTACCACTGAACTTTGAAGTTCCAGAGAGGCTATGGACAGGTAAGGATCCTACATACTCACATCTTAGAGTTTTTGGTTGTTCATCATATGCACATGTATCCAAAGAGCTCAGACAGAAGCTCGATGCAAGAACTATCCCATGCATTTTCGTTGGCTATGGAAATGAAGAGTTTGGATACAGGTTATGGGATCCTAAGGAGAAAAAGGTGTTCAGAAGCAGGGACGTTGTGTTCCATGAAGATTTGACAATAGAAGACATTGAAAAATCCACAATGTCTCGGAAGTCAAATGAGGGTGTTCAAGTTTCAAATGAAGCACCTGAATTGTTCTTGAGAAACAATGACGAAGTGCATGAAAACAACTCAGAAGCAGAAGAGGATGAGGAGACAGAAGAGAGTACAGAGCAAGGGGAGTCACAACCCACCTCGCCAGGCACAGATGATGGTAGCTCTTCTGAGATGGTTCCAACTGTTCGTAGATCTGAACGAGACCATATACCATCGAAAAGGTACACATCATCTGAATATCTTTTGTTAATTGAAGATGGAGAACCGGAGAGTTTTCAAGAAGCTGTGTCTCATAAGGATAAAGAAAAATGGCTAATAGCAATGCAGGATGAGTTGGAATCTCTGCAGAAAAATCAAACTTATGAGATTGTAGAACTTCCTAAAGGGAAGAAGGCACTGAGGAACAAGTGGGTGTTCAAGCTGAAGAAGGATGCAAGCGGACAAGTGGTGAAACACAAAGCTCGGTTGGTTGTCAAAGGATTCCAACAGAAGAAGGGAATTGACTTTGATGAGATCTTTGCACCAGTTGTCAATATGACCTCAATCCGAGTTATACTTGGCTTGGCAGCAAGTATGAACTTGGAGCTTGAACAGATGGATGTGAAGACAGCATTTCTTCACGGAGATTTGAAAGAAGAAATCTATATGCAGCAGCCGGAAGGTTTTGAGAGCTCAAATGATAACTTTGTGTGTAAGTTATCTAAAAGTTTGTATGGCTTGAAGCAGGCACCAAGGCAGTGGAATAAGAAGTTTGACTCATGCATGAAGAGTCAAGGCTACAAGAAGACTACTGCAGATGAGTGTGTATACATCAAGAAACTCCCAGACGGTACTTTCATTGCTCTTCTACTATATGTAGACGACATGTTGATCGTTGGGAAAGATGTAGTGATGATAAACCAGCTGAAGAAAGAACTCTCTAAGTCTTTTGATATGAAAGACTTAGGACCGGCTCAACAGATTCTTGGGATGCAGATCACTCGAGACAGGAAGAATCGCAAGTTATGGCTTTCTCAAGAGAAGTACATTGAACGAGTACTTGAGAGATTCAACATGAATGATGCCAAACCAGTTAGTGTTCCACTTGCGAATCACTTCAAGTTGAGCAAAAGAACATGCCCTACATCCAAGGAAGAGATCGGGGAGATGTTAGCAGTTCCATATTCTTCGGCAGTTGGGAGTTTGATGTACGCCATGGTATGCACAAGGCCAGACATCGCACAAGCAGTGGGTACAGTAAGTCGTTTTCTCTCTAACCCTGGGAAGGAGCATTGGGAGGCAGTCAAATGGATTCTCAGATACTTGAAAGGTACCACGAAGTTATGTCTTTGTTACGGAGGAGCTGATCCAAACTTGGAAGGCTACACAGATGCTGATATGGCCGGAGATATTGATAGTAGAAAGTCTACTACAGGATATATCTACACTTTTGCAGGGGGAGCTGTTTCTTGGCAATCAAGATTGCAGAAGTGTGTCGCTTTATCTACAACAGAAGCAGAATACATTGCTGCCGCTGAAGCAGGTAAGGAAATGTTGTGGCTAAAGCGTTTTCTCCAAGAACTTGGGATCCACCAGAAAGAGTACCAGGTACATTGTGACAGTCAGAGTGCTCTAGACTTGAGCAAGAACTCTATGTACCATTCTCGTACAAAGCATATTGATATTCGGTATCATTGGATACGGGAGACGATTGATCAACAACTGTTGAGACTAGTGAAGATCAATACAAAGGAGAATCCATCAGACATGCTGACAAAGGTGGTGACACGAGATAAGCTAGAGCTATACAGAGACATAGTCGGGATGCTTGTTTTGAATATGCGTGGAAGGGGAGAATTGAAGAATTCAATTTCCAGGACATATCCAAGTACAAGCAAATTGAAGAATCCAATTGCAACAACCATGAAGCTTCCTCCATGTGCAAGCAACAACCATGAAGCTTCATCCATGTGCAAGAATGACAAAGGGAGCTTCCTCAAAGTTTCCTCATGTTTAATCCCACCTTCCTCCCACCTTCATAGTACATAGTTTTGGTGCTATAAATAGAGAGCTTGGAGAGTCTTTCTATCATCAAGTAAATTAGAATAGATCATCATAGCACAACCAAAAAGAGTTGTGAATATCCTTGAGAGATATGTGAGGTGTTGTTTTGAGATTTTTTTAATTAGAGCTTGTATGTCTCTTCTTTCTATTCTTGAAAGTAATAGAAGTGTTTTTCTCTCATATTAGCACGATCCTGTTATTCCCAACAGGAGAATCAGCTGTCGCTTTTAAGGTGGCCGGATAATAATGATCGAAGGCCAATCCATTTCGAGGTAGCTTGCGTTTTTCAAAATTTATTACTCACTACTATATTGTTTCGCGATCAAAGTCGCACTTTCCTTTTATGGATGTGCCAAAATAAAAATCACAGTTCCCATTTAGGAAAGAAATTTATGTAAATACAATACAAAACAGTGTCAAACAGTACCAAACATTGTCAAAACAATGTACTCTACGGTAAAACTTACCCCTTAGTAAAAGAGTTCTTTAATTTTTGTGAAATCAACGTGTGACTTTGATTGTGAAACGGAGGGAGTATCACGTAAGTGCCGCACTACGCAGATAGAATTCACTTAGCTTCCGCGACCGGATCAAGAAATGATAGGTTAGGTAAGCCGGGACTATTCGTATAAACAGCTCGTGCCAAAATGTTTTTGGCACGAAATTGTCATATGCATGCCAAAATATATTTGTCATATCTTACAAAATATCTGCCAATTTTGGGAAATTCTTACGAAAAAATTATGTCATTCCGGTGTTCTTTATAGTGATAGAAGCAAGGCCCCCTCCGACCACCTATTTCCACCGAAGTATTATTCATGTAGCATCGACTTTTGTTGTATTTGATCGATCAATAACTCATCGTGTGCATGCTAATAGGCTGTAAATATTTAATATGATTTGTATTGATTTGTACTACCTCCGTCCCTTAAAACTTTGCCAAAGTTGATCGGCACGGAGAATAATAAAGTAAAAATTGTGTGGTTGAAGTTTGTGCAGAGGAGAGAGAAATAACAGAAACCACAAAATAATTGATTAAAAGGGAAAGTGGTAAAGTTTTAAGGGACGGATGGAGTATTGATTTGTATTTAAATATGTACAGCCTATTACATGCATTATCACCGGATACGAGCTAGCTAGGCTCTTAGCTGCTGCCGCCTGGCGGGGAATATTAATATACGAGGAAACTGTGGAGTTCAGGGCATGCTTATGGCATGTTGTAAAAATTATACTCCCATATGTAGTACTATACGTAGTATTTACAAAATGTAATTGCTAGGTATAGTGTAGATTGTTGTTTAATTTACAATGGACTAAGATTTTTATTGATTGCTAGGATTTGACCATTTAATTAGACGGCTGGTGGAGTGCTCTTCAAACTTGGGACGATGGCGGGTTGCTTACCCGGGAGAAAGGGACTGTGAGAAAGAAAGAAAGAAGTGGCAGGATGAAACTATTGCTTTCGAACGGCAAGAAGATGCCTTAGACCCTGTTTGGTTGGAGTGTTTTGTGTGTATTTGGTTGAAAGAAATAGATAGATGAGATCATGAGAAAGGGAGGAAAGTGGAAGGCTTCAAAAATCCTCCTTCCTCTCATTCTCTCCGCTTCCAAAATGCTTCAAATTGAATGGTCTATTTCGTTCCTATTTATATGGCATGTTTTCCTTTTAATTCTTTAGAGATTACTCATATTTATTTAGTTGAATTTGTCTTCCGTTTTATTAGTCGAAGTGGGTTGAGTTAGTGGCTGTGACCATCACCCACTTTTAATATTAGTTGCTTAATTATAGAAATTGCAGGTGCTATGTATTCTATTTAAACAATTATTATCCTGAGCAATAAAGTATGTATAGTAGCTTCTTCAAAATATTCCAGTAAATTTGTTCTTCATTTTCAGTGAGTTACCCAACACATTATACATTTATTTATATACTATCGTACAT